CCACAAAATTAATGTAATTCCACATAGTGGGAAAAACATTATAGATTTAAAACCTCTGCTTCAGAAGCAGCTACAGTTGGTCAAGCTTTCTACAGAATTTAGCATTTCTGTCCATGATATTCCAAAATCACTGTCACCAAAGGGGAAGAACATACTCAAGGTTTTAAATCCCCTTCTGTTACAAGTATCCACATAGACCTACATATAGAATTACTACAAGTAATTTTGCAGGTAGTCTTATATGGAAAATTGATTATTCTCTGAACTCCCTTGATGTCCTACTTGTACAAAAAAAATCAGTCGAAAATGTTTATATTCTTTTCTATATTAATTGGTAGAAGTACATTCTCCTTCTGAAACAGAAATGACAACCAAGTTGCCCAGTAAGCAACTCCTGGATGTGAGGGTGTTTATCAGCATTGTAAGGATATTGAAATCATATTGGGAATGACAGAAAATCTGCTTTTACTTTCTGCCTGCCTCTTAATGATTCCAAGGTTTAACAATTCAGTGCTTCTGCTTAGAGTCCATTATTGTTCAGTGCTTTTCCACACTTTAGTAATTCACGAGTTTATTCACAGGTAAAGTATTTCAAATGAGCACTGTGGGAAACAAACAGTTGAAACAGCACAGACTGAAGTCTACATTTTTTCAAGAAACAGTATATGATACAGAATCTTGTCCAAGATCTGTCACAGAAGTTACCCAGAAAAGTTTGCATGTGCAGTGTGAATAACTTTTCTATTTTTAATACCTTCAGGGAGAAGACTCTATTCCAGTTGAATATTTTTTTAAAAAATACAAGTTTCTTAAAAATGTTCATTCCAAAACATTAGGAGGATCTGTTGTTTCATACTGAAGGCCTCTCTAATGGAGTCTCAAGGAGGCAGAGAGGCTTCCAGAACCGTGGCTATCCCTCAGCAGGCAAGCTGGATACTCTGCTTTTAGCGTGAGTCACAGTTCACAGAAATTCCCTGTGTGCATATAGCACACATCACTGATTTAAGAACTCTCTGCCAAAAGGATCCATAGCGAGGGCTGAAGTGCTCACATTTAACAGCCCATAAAGCAGCAGAAACAAGCAGTCAGGTGTGTCCATTTTCTCACTTAACTCAGCAGAATTGCTGCTCAGCTAGATTGGAATAGTGGTATCTAATGTGACCTGATATTTCTCCAGGCTTAATGAATTTCTAATTGCTCATTAGCCCCAGAAGATTTGCTAAAGCAAACACAAAGACAGCTGGAGACACTTGGAGTCCCTAAAATGAATGCAAGGCAATCTTTGTGAACAAAACACTTAGTTATCTTCAAAATCTGCTGAAGACAAGCAAGGCTGTAAAAACTGACAACAGCTTCTGATGAGGCAGAAGTTCTAATAACCCATGAATAATGTACCACAAAGTTCAGCTATTCAGAATAATACTGTCTTTCATGTTGAAAGCAGAACAGGTTTACTTCCTCTGGAATATCCTCACAGACAAACAATTCTAGTGGGATTTTGATCTTCCAAGACCAGCCTAAGTACCACTGCATTAACCCTGAATGAGACAGTATGCACAGTCCCTCAGTGGCCAAGGAGGTGATTCTTTAATGGTCATCCTACAGGCAATCATGTTCACACACTTTTTCTCATCATGATTATCAGAAATGTAAGACAAGTCTAACTGGACTGGACACCAGATGGAGGAAAAGGAATCTCAAGGCTCAGGGCTGGAGAAGGGATAATGAAGTTCTAGAATGAGCAGGGTCAAATGACTGTTGAACAGAGGAGTTTGAGCAGGCAACAGTTCACTCAGTAGAGAGAGAAATGTGGAGCTGTGAAAAAAAAAAGATAATTTCTATCTGTGCTTAACTGTATGTATTTTTCCTCCTGGCTCACTTCTGTCAACAACCCAAAGATGCCCCTCTTCCCCAACACTGCCTTAGCACAGCCCAAGCAGTTTGGTACCCAGAGTCACAGACCTAGAGAGGAAAGTGCTAGCTGATAATAACTGCTTCATTCTCAAGGGAGTGCCCAGCAAAGCCAGACCTACCTATGAAAATGTGTTACCTAGTTTGCAATAAAAAAGTCACAAGAACTCTTTCAATGGCATGCAGTGTGTTTCCTTAACTGTTTCATTCCAATTCCATGACATACATGAATTCACATACATATGAAAGCATAAAGTTCTTGAGCTTTTAAAACCTGCATGAATGAATTAGTGATGTTGTGACATTTTGTCCTAGAAATTAAAAGAGCAGTTATTTTCCAGCATAGATATTTTCTCTCTCATAAACAACTTTATACCACAACTACACTTTAACAACTTCTAAATATACAAAGACGTATTACTGAATATTACACATCTTTATTTCCTGATGTGCCAAAAAGAGCTAAAGAACAAATAAATTTTAGTCTTCAGCAGTGGAAGAAAACTGAAATGACATCAAATGCAGCAGAGGTAACATGCACTTCTCTGGTTTCCAGAGTTAGGGCTGAGAGCAGCCAGTCTGTAATTTTGGAACACCGACATGAGATATTGCAGCATGGAATTCTGCTTGATATCCAATGGATACCAGACACTAAAATCTGGAAGTTATTTAATAACATGAAGCAGCTCTATGCAGGTACATCAGTTTGTTCATCAAAGTTATAAAAATATTTCTTCAAGGCAATGCTATAAATATAGAATTTATAAAACAAAGCAATATGCATAAAATATGGTTTCATATTCTTGATATTCTGTTAGAAACAACACTACCCACCTTGAAAGAGATGTACAATGAATAAATGTCTAAAGAGCAGCACTTCAAAATTTCAGCCGCTGTTCCTTGTGCTTGGTACGAAATATGTACTGCAGGGACACAGGAAAAGAGTTAATAATTCATATTAAATTACGAGAGATGACCCAGACTGCTTCTTTTCATTTTCTGAATTGAAAATCTTAAGGATAATGTTGTTATATACTTAATTATTGCCTCCACCAATACAAGGATATCAATAATGGTAACTCAAGACATGGATAAACTCCCAAGAAGCTTAAAAAGGCAAATATTTCTACTTCATTAAGTTAACTAAATTTTCTACAAAATCTAGACTTTAAACTGCTGATTTGGAACTGGCCCATGCCAACCAGGAGAGAGACTGGGAGGCAAAGTATGGAAATGAAAGAGTAAGTACTACTTCATGTGCATGAGCTATCTCAGACAAATTGGGACATCCTGAATGGGGCTCAGCACAGGGCTCTGGTACCTTTAAAGCCCACAGGTACAACATTAATGATTTGAGTAATCACTAACACCCACACTACCAATTACTGATCACAGGAAAACTTCTCTAGATCACTTCCTATTCCTTTTATCCTTTCACCAGTATGGGCTGGCTGATGAACTGGTTCATTTTACTGGCAAGTCTATAGCTTTTAGTAGTTTTAGCTTTGGTATTTATTCCTGCTAGGAGTTGTAAACTCCCCCTGCTTCTATAACTGTACAGAGGTGTGGCAGACTCCACAGACTCCAAACAAAACGGAAGAATTAGTATCATTATAGCTTTTATTTGTACAGCTGGCAAATCCCTGTTAGTATAATTGATTGTGCTGCTTGTGCACTCAGCTTCAGGCTGTGGTGAAGCCTCTATTACCTTATCTTAAACAATCATGGAATCATTACAGTTGGAAACACCTCCAAGTTCATTTAGTCCAATCTTTCACGGAGCACCTCCGTGCCAACTAAACCGCAGCACTGAGTGCCATGTGCCACATGTCCTGTCATTTCTTGGAACACCTTCAGCAATGGTGACTCCACCACTTCCTGGGCAGCCTGTTCAAATGCTTCACAGCTCTTTCCATGAAGAAATTCTTCCTGATGGCCAACCTGAACCTCCCATGGTGCAGCTTGAGGCCATTTCCTCTCATCCTGTCTCCGGTTGCCTGGGGGAAGAAGCCAACCACCTTTCTATAACCTCTTTTCAGGCAGTTGTAGTTTGTGATAAGAGATCTCCCCTGAGCCTCCTTTGCTTCAGGCTCTTCATCAGACCTGTGCTCCAGGCCCTTCACCAGCTCAGTTGTCCTTCTCTGGACTCACTGCAGCATCTCAAAGTCTTCCTTGGACTGGAGGGCTCTGAACTGGACACAGGATTTGAGGTAAGGCCTCACCAGTGCTGGGTATAGAGGGATAATCTCTTCCCTGGTCCTGCTGGCCACACGATCCCTGATAAAAGCCAGGATGCTCTTAGCCTTCTTGGCCACCTGGGCACATGCTGGCTCTTGGTCAGCTGCACTCAGCCAACACCCCCAGGTCCTTTTCTGCTGGGCCCTCATCTTCAGGAATTACTGAATAACCTGGATTGCCATCCAGGTAATAGGAGGACATGTGAGGGTGGAGTTTGGTTTTGCTCACTTTTGTGGGTTGTTACTCCACAGCTATGCATGACATGGTGTTCCTCACCTAGATTAAGGGTGTTACCTTTATTATGTTTATTATTATGTTCCCAGATTTCAGAGTTGAGCTCATTACCTTGTTTAATGTAAGGTAAAGATGTCAGCTATACAAGATAGCATGGCTACTATCAAGTAATCCACATATTATGTCCAAAAAGACCCATTTTTTAAACACAACATCCTGGAAAACTTTTTAAATTTTAGAAAATATTGGGAGACCCAGGAAAGCCCAGATGAATAGGTACCCATTTGAGATAGAAAAAGTGCCCAGTGTAGGTATTGGACGAGTAAGAATATTCCTTAATCAAAAGGTTTAAGACCAAATTCCCATAAGGGAGAATTGCACTGTGTTCAGTGGCTGCAGCACAGGTTCCCACTGTCAGTCCTGGGTGGAATGGAGCTGCACAGAGCACAGAAAGATGCACTGCAGGATTCAGGGGTTTCTTTGTTGAAAACCATAATGTACATTTGTAAAATGCCATCTGGGATGCATATAATGTATACTCACTTTCTCACTTCACCTCCAGCTGAAAGTGCTTGGTGTTCATGTGATTGATATTTTGATTCCCACGATAGGGACTTGGACTGAAACGTTCATCTTCTGAGGTTAGTAAGCATCATCTTGTTTTTCACTTAACTATTTTGTACACAGCTGAGTGCCTTAAAAAGTAATTTAATATCTCACTAACAGGACAGTCTATCAGGATTTAATTTTCCTCTTTTTATTACATCTCCATGATAACAAATAAGTGGTATTTTGTGTGTGAGGTATTCTTTGTATATGTGACCACAGAGAGTAGTAGCCACTGTGGGCACTAACTGAGATCTGGGAAATGCTAATGTTAGATTTTCTGAGGAAGCAGTTTTTGCCCACATTTCTGGCACTAATTCCCCAGCACAGGATATCACATATGCTTTCTTCTTCAGTCACACTGGAATGAGTACATTTAATGGTACATAGGCAAATTACATCTGAACAGTATAAAATTACCACATTAATTTCTCAGTTTTTAATGAAAGAACAAGTTTCACTGCATTGTCTTTGCTTTTTCTTCAGTAGGGTTGATATGGTCTCTTGCTGTATTTTAAAATGCTTTAAAAATTAATTGATGCTTCATCCAAAACTAAATAAGGTACCAATCAGTATTCACTCAACAGAGAAAGGCTTCTTTATGGAGGAAAAATCCTTTGAACTCAACCTAATACAATACCTAGGCACCTGATTCAGGATGTCCATGGACCTAGAAAGTTATCATTACACAGATGTTCTGTTCCTACTAAGAAAACATCTGCTGCTTTGGCCATTGTCAAAGAAAGTTCCTGGGATGCCCCAGGACGGACCCTTCTCTTCTAACACGTGTGTTTCTTCTTCTGCAGCATTTCCCAGTAGTGTATGTGTTCGTGTGGCTCGATGTAATGAGATGTAATTATTTTATTGTACGTACAAGGAGAAAATGGGACCTTGTGTAAGTTGAACAGTGAATAAGAAACTGGTACTATTTCTACTCCCTTTGCATTGAGACAAAACCCTACGTAAACATCTTCCAAATGTATATGCTTGATCATTAAAGAGGCATTGACAATTTTTGCAGCCAGGTCTCCAGAAAAGACGTAGCCAGTTCCTGAACAGAAAGGGTGGTATCTGTTACCTGGGAATTCTTCTTCTGATATGTACCATTTACTGGCTTTATTCCGAATAGGGGTGTGCCCTTTCATTAAATGGCCCGTGAAATAATTCTGTGTGGAAGGTGGGAGAGGCCTGAGGAGCTTTTCAATCAGGTGCATCGTGTTGACAAAAACATCAGTGTCCGTCTTCATGGCAAACCTCGTGCCGCTGCAGTAAGAGGCCACCCACCTCATGCCCATCAGAGTTTTAAGAGTTAGGTTGTTGTAAGTGTCCAGGAAGTCCTGTTGGATGATGTCGTGATACTGCTCGCTTTCTCTCTGCAGGACGTCGTTGTTGGCCGCCTTGGCGTCGATGCCCAGCATGAAGAGGCGCACAACGTGAGCGCCCGGCACCGCAGCCTCGCTGCCCCAGCTCTGCCGGATGGCCCTGCGGCGCTGCAGCTCCCATGCCGTCGTTGCTATCAGCAGCACCAAGAAAGGTGTTTTATCTTTACACTTGTCTTCTTCATTAATGAGGAATGTAAATGACTGCCTAGGAGTGGGTGTGGCTTTATTCACAGGTATCTCATTTTCGGGTGGTAGTTCCCCATTTTCTTTCCCTGAGATTTGTTTGAAATTTGTCAGGACTTTTTTAAGTAAACTCTTTTCATTTTTCTTGTGAAGATCATCACTTTTAAGTTGAGCAGGAAGGTGATGAGAAGTATAAAGATAGGAAATCAAATATACTGCTGTAAAAGAGATGGTGAAAGCCAGAAAAAGACTTCTCTTAGTGCATTTTGTAGGAGAGAGAAATTTACCACAGTAGCTCATGTTGGCAGCCGTGAGAGGATGCACAAGAAGCACAGATATTTTGTCAGAAGAGCAGCTAATTTGTAGTTGTTTTCCTCTGTGACACAGGAAGATAAAAGCGACTTTCAGGCTTCCAAGTCTTCAGGATTCCTTTCATTTTGTTATTGTTAAAAGAATGCCAATATTTCATTTTAGAATAAACTGCAGAAATTTTTATCAAAGACAAAAAAAATTTTAAAATTTCTTCATTAAAGCTTCAGTCTTTTCTTCCAAAGAGAAATGCAGTATGATAGAAATAGTAAGAAATAAATGAAACTAAATAAATACACTATTAAAAGTAATAATTTAATCAGGTAGAAGAGAAATTATACAGATCTATATTTAAATATTAAAATATATGTAATTTATAAAGACAGCTTAACTCCCTGTAGGCTTTACAAAAAGTTATCACATAATTGAATCATCCAAAGTTAATGAAATATTATGATTGATTATGGATTCATAGTATTGGAGGCTATTATGATAAATCAAAAATTTGATGCATGGCTGAAAGTGATTGTCTAGGCTCTATAAAACATTAATGCAGACAGACTTTGAGATGAAGTGTCCCCTGCCAGCAACTATCTCTGTGAAGAATGCTTGAAACAACTGTCTTAATCTAGATCCATACATTTCAAATGGCTTCAGCTGAAGGATCCCATCCTCCCTGACTGCAGACAGGTAAAGTATAAATGCTGGAACTGTACACATACTGTAGTTTTGGGTAGTTATTTGTGATTTCCATAATGTCCACTTTCAAATTTTGGCTTCCTTCAATGAAACAATACAGAAATTTATCTAAGCCTTGGAGTTGCTCCACAGTTCTTCTGCTCCACAAAGAATCGACAGATTTAGGAGGACTTAAATATCAGGAATCCTACCTCTGTTCCCATGGAGAATCTATGGACAAGCTCACAGGTCCTTGACTTTCTGTTTGATAAGGTGAAAATACTCTGTCACTTGCAGCAATGAAGAGACAGCCTATAAAAAGGAGACTGGATTTAATAACTTTAGAATATGCAGTAGAAATGCAAAGAAACTAATTTATGCTTGACTATAATTTAATCTGGATAAAATTGATATTGCATAATCTAAATGTAAATGTGTGGTGGATAACCCTTGGCCAGCACACAAACACTCACCCACATGCTCACTCCACTTCCCCTCTCCACAGGAGGACAAGGGGAGAAAATAGGATGAAAGAGTTCATGGACCAAGGTAAAGGACAGGAAGATCACTTACTGGATACCATCTAGGACAGAACAAAGCTGGCCAAGATGAATTTTAAATACATTTAGATAGTGAGAAGCAGAAACAAAAATAAAACCCCATAGCTCCTCCCCATCTTTTCCTGGGCTCAACTCAACTTCTTTTTCTGCCCCTTCAGCAGCAGAAGGGGGTTGGGGATTAAGGTCCCTTCCTGTTCCTCCTCCTGTTCAAACAGATCTGCTCCAGTGAGAGCTCTCCAAGGGTCAGAGTACCTGCTGGAGGTTGCAGAAAAAGGGCATAAGGATATTCTGTGATAAACTGGTCAATATTTCAATGCAGCTCACATGTACCAGACACACCTATAAAATATTAAGAACACAGCAAGTAATAGCTTAGCTCTAGCAGTCTTCCTTCTTATGTTTTCAGCTCTTTAGAAACTGTATATTTTGGCATCATAACATATTAAATAACCAGGATCCAAAAACAAGGTAAGAAAGGACATGGTCACTACGATATCAGAAGTCAAGAGGCATTTCTGTACCCATTAAATGCTTTACTGTTATTTGAAATACAAGAATTTCAGCACATGAAAATGAAAGAGCAGGAGGTAATTTTCAATGTTCTAAGTGTGGTTCTGTACTGCAGTTTTCTTGATGAAGCTAAAGGTATTTTGTCAAAGTCTTTGACTTCTGTTACTTTTGACAGTGCAATTCCAGTAGATGAAATCCTGGTTCCACTGTGGAAAGAACAGAAACTTCTAAGAAGACTTTTCTAGGAGGCAACTAAAATATTTATTGCTTCATATTGATTGAGTTATCAGTAGAAAATTCATGCTGCTGAAGAGCAAAGAGTATCTATGTCTTCAAAAATATAGTTTATCTTGCTTATGACTTTAAAGTGCCAAGAAGCTCCCAAAATACAATACTCCTTTTCTATTAAATTTTTTCCACAGAAAAAAAGAAAAAAACTTTAGAAATAAATGCTTACCCACAATAATTACCCATACCATTAAAACAAAACAATTGTAATTATGAAAATTATTTTTCTAAAGCCAACTGTGTAGCAAAATGCAGTGTATATAGGTTGCCTTAGGATACACTGATTATTCAGATGAACACGCATTTAACTACATTCAGATTTTAAAATTACTTCATATGTGCTAAACTTCCCCCTCCCCCCCCCATAATCGGGCCTTATTAAAATAATAAAAAGGAAGAAGAAGATGACTGAAAAGGAGTAGAGAAAAGCAGAGAAGGTATTAGAAAAAAAGGTAAAATGATATTATAAATATAATGTTAATTATTTATTAATTAAATTATTAATTATTAATATTATATTTATATATCAGATAATATTATTATATTAGTTATTATTTATTAATTAAATTAATAATTATATAAATAAAATAATATACCATTTCTCTGCACTCCTGTTTATGTTATCTTTTCCTTATTTATTAGAAAAAGACAGATTTGAGAGTTCATGAGTGAAAATCTACCTCGCTGTGTTCTAATTCTACCCTATCCCATCACAATTTTGAAAGGCTATAAAACGAAGAAAACCAATCCCTCACATTGTAGCAATGCTTTGACATTTTCCCAAATTCTTGAAGTAATGAGTTTTGAAGTGCAGGCCGTTGAAGGTGCTCCCACAAATGGCAAATTTCTAATTAATCTTTTGAGGAAATGCTAGGTGTGTTTGAAGGCTGCCAGAAAGCACCAGATAGGGCTGATTTAATCCCAAACTGCCAGTTGGCAAACAGATCACAGCACCTCCTCTAGTTAGCCCTGGCTTAGTTAAGCCAGCTTGGAGGCAGATTGGCTAAATGTCCCTGAAAGGATGAGCAGGGAAGCGAGGGAAGAGCAGGAGATGCACCCACCTAGACTAAAGGCAGCGTCTCCTGGAGAGGAGCTCCATCGGGGCTCTGCCGTGTCCTGCAGCCCTTCTGGCTCAGCTCAGGCTCACCGGTCCCTTGGCAAGAGCAGGCTGTGCTAAGTCCAGCCCCACCTCCTGCTGGCTCTGTGAGAGCTCCCAGGGATGGCCCTGGAGTCAGTGAGATGAACCAATAACTACTCCACCCCTCTTTTTTGAAACCTCTGTGGAATTTCAATCTCACCTGCCACGGTATTTGGAGGATGAACTTGGGCATCTCAGTGGCATTTGCTCTAGGTGGCTGTAAAGAGCAGCAGAGATATTGCAGTTTCTGTCAGTACTAGTTTGTTATTGTGCTGCAGGTGAAAAAAAGCTGTCTTAAAACCACACAAGGAGCAGAGAGCTGCTTGTACCTCCTCTTACCTGCACCATTTGGCTTCCCAGAGAACCCAGGCAACCATTCTGTGGTTTACACATAGAAACTCATCTGAACATGTACTGCTGAGGTGTGACACGGATCAGTGCTGAAATAAAATTGTCTTGATATGTATTGTTGGAAATATATACATTCAGTTTTTCAAAAATTTAAAATAAGATTTTTTATGAGTAAAACACATGGTCAGTGATCCTTAAAACCACCACCTGTTACAATGATTACAGCAATTTGAAAAGCAAAGGGCTTAATTAACTGTGAAGAGAATCAAACACTTTGCATAAAACAATGGAAAAATATATTAATAACAACTGCACATATTTAAGGTGCATATGGAATTAATTTAAGAAATGTATAAAGTATTTATCTGCCAGTGTAGTGTAAAATCCTTGTATATTTCCTTTTCTGATTTCAATTATGCCTAGACTAAGCTAATCTGATCAAAATGCTAATTCTACACAGGAATAGTACTCTTCCCCCCCCCCACTGGAATATTAATAATTCTTTTTTAAATTAACCAGAAATACATGAAAAATTGAAGAAGAATTTTAGATTTTTTTTTCTTTACATAAATGCACTTTGTATTTAAAAATAGTCTCCAAAGAGAAGTGAACAGTAACAGGTGTCCTAGAATTTGCTTGTCTCCAGTTATCTGCTATATATTTTTTTCCTAAAGTACATACAGAAATATGGCTGCCAAATAATGAATCACATATAAACAGCACAATTCCCTCTCTGTTTTTATGGAAATTAAATGCAAGAAAATTTGTCGTGGGACAAAAGGGGAGCACCTGTCTGCAAGGAGCCAAGAATTTTCTGTTAGTCTAACAAAAGTGTCCTATCAGCTGTTAGTATAATTTGTTATTAAAGGTCGAGTGAAGAAGGGAATATATTTCTACATGCAGTCCCTGGTATCTCCCTCTCTTGCCTCATGTCACATTCACCTTCTTTAATGCTCCTCTGGTGGGGTCCTTTGAGTCAGTGGCACCAGCTTTTCTCAAGGAGATGGACAAGGAGAGGAGCTTATGGCAAATTACCTGCCAGTGCCCAACAGTCTCTACCAGAAGGAACATCCTGGTCTTTGCTACCCAAGAAGGGTTAATTTCTGTGTATTTTGCAAGACAGCACTTTCCTTTCTTTCTTGGTTCTCAGTTGCCTGATTATATAACGCTGTGCTGTGTATAACACGTGCTGTGTTGGTTTTGGGTATTTCCTCCTCTTGTTCTTTGACTAAATGATTAAATGATTATGACTGAAGCCACCTTTGTCCAGCTGCCAAGAAGTGCATCCTCATACCAGTAAGTAATTAGCCATTGGTTACACTTTTCCTCGGTTATCATCCTATATTACATTTCTCTGTACTTCTGTTTCAGGGCCAAGAAAACATACTCAACACAGAGTAGCTATTTCCTGCAGAAAGAAGGACAAATATCTAGCAGGTTGTGGAAAGGCAAAGTAATCAAGTAACAGGAACTAATTCACTACATAGTTTGCTATTCCAGTTTTAAAGAGCTAGAACAAATTCAAGTCCTTATCCTGTTAACTGATCTGATCAGAGTATCTATGTGAACTATAAGGAAGAACGTGCTTGGGGGCTGTAGCCATGGAAAGGGGTTTTAACCCTTTAAGTGCAG